CATTTCACTTTAGTCGCATCCCAAAAACCATGATGCACATCCCTGTAAATTCGCTCAACATTTGCAGCTTAGCAGCAGTGTTTCCCGATAAAAAGTTACTTTTGATCCTGGAGTCACAAATTGCTTTAAAACACTTGAAGCTATAACGAGAATCTTTCGAGTGTTTGCACTGAGAGATGACTGAAGATAAGACGATTCAACAATGCAGCATAATCTTCATTAATAGACGAATCTCTCTGTATGTTATTTTGCAGTTGTGTGGCTTGTTTCATAACTTCATAACAACTTGCTAAAATTTTCACATTTCATAACAAGTTTTGAGGGAAATGTTGAAAGGGAAAACTGATTTGAATGGCCAATTTTGTGCAAATTCTAATCCTCCAAAGGACTATGTTCACCCTCCAGTTATTATCTTCCGAACACAGACAGTCTCACTAACATCAATTTCACTTAAACGCGCAATGATGTTATTAAATAACCTGCAAATAAAAATGAATGAGTACTGAGGATTTACAATTGGGATAAACCCCGAGTGAATTTATTGTCACGGACGGCAAATTAAATTTTCAAAATTGGCAATATTAGTAAATTACCATGTAAATTGCCCTGTCAAACTCTGACTACCTCATCCACTCTCCCAGTACTTAGCAGAAAGGGAAATTTATCGTGTTTCCCTCCGATGTAACACATTCTTATGGGAGGATAAAGTTGAGTTGTTATGTGCATGGAGTGAAATCTTGTGTGCTTTCTCAACACAAATCACAATTATGGTAAAAGCTCCCCTCTTCCCCTATTTACTGTATAAACAATGTTGAAGATTTTCTATATATAATAAAGAATTTATCATTTATTTATCGCCTGGTGTAATTTTCCGGCGGAGGCCACAGAGGAGCTCCCGCATGAGCAAATTAGATAATGGAGCCTATGTGGGGCACTTGTTCGGCATTACTTAACGCACGCACACACACGATGTGTTCTCAAGCAGCCATTGGGGAATTTCTATCAGCACTGGAACGCTTCCCTCCATCCGGATGAACTCCCATCCCGCGCCTCTCCTTCTCTGGGCGAATAAAAATTGGAGGGTTGTTGCGCTATTTGTGTATTGGCGCAAATGTATCGAATGCTAATGCCCAATTCCATCTCCTGCTCCTGCGAGTATCTTCGAGGATCTCATCGCTCACCTGCACCCGGAAGTCTATCAAACATCACGGGAATCAGCACAACAAGCTCCGTAACGAACTTGAGAGGAATAACAAGTCAATTCCGACCCGCGCTCTCAATCCTAATCACAAAGGACATAACACTACAATCCACAGTGCTGCAATTGATGAGCAATCCAACCACCTGTCTGGGCACTCCGCGAAAATCCCCTCGGCGCCCTCATTTTCCGCATCTCCACAAACATCTCTGTCACTGCGAACCCTCGGAAGTTTCCTGCACCGCACTCTCTCGAGGTGGTGGATTCTGCCAGAGAGGCGGTAAGAGGGAATTGTGTTTGAAATGTTTGCCCGAAGCACTACACTCCGTATATCCTTCGCCCCCCCGCCGAGCCGCCCGCAAGAGGCAGGAATGAGTGTTCTTGCGGGAAGACAAGAAAAGTAGGTGAAACTCTCCCAATTTCTCTGATGCGGTTTCATATTCTTTCCTGTTTGTCGTGAGCAAACAACAAACTCAGGCTATATGACGTGTAGAAGTATTTCGTGGCGCCTCCGGGAATGGCCATCGAACACCGCCCACAAATTGCTGCTCCACGCGAAGAACACGTTGACTTTCTCCAGTATTTTTAATGAACATTACCCCGCACGTGCGGAATCTTTTTTTCCCTCTTCAAAGAACTTCACCAAATTCCTATTAATAACATTGCTAATAATGATGAAGCATCAGCAGTTCTTTCCATTTAATTGTGGGTTACCTGTAATAGAATTCCCCGAAGCCACGCCCACTCTTATTCTCCGCCCACTTAAGACTTCTCAAAGCCTTCTTACGCCCTTTGTCTGTCCTTTTGGGCAAATTATCACTGTGCTTTGTGATCTCTCTGACGAGATGTTGCAGACTTTGAGTGAAATTGTGATGTGCAACTTATCAACTTGTTCAGACGTACCTTGTCAACTTGCCTAAGTCTCAAATGTGCGCATCTGAAGGGGATTTATGAGGGATTCCAGTTCTTGGCAGCCAAAATGGGGGTGGATATTGGACCGCTAGAAGGGTGCGAAAAGTCAATTCGAGATATCGTTTCTTCCTTCACTTTTTCACCATCGCTCGGAAACTTTTTAGCTTCTCACAGACAAATTTCACCCTATCCGAGATAAAGTTGATCCACAATGAAAACTTCACAATCTTCCCTCACAAGCGCACATGGGAAAACTTCCTTCCATCAGATAGTGGATGCCTTGAGAGCCAATGGCGGAAGATTGCAGTCAAGTGGAGCGTTGAATGTGTGCCACCTTGGACAAGAACTTGTCACTCTTCACTCATTAACTCCTCTCCAACCCTGAGCCATCATCTTCACTGCCACATCATGTAAATCTCACTTGATTCTTCATTCTCACAAAATCACGTCACCGCTTTTCGAGGCTTTTCTCCTTTGGGGTCTGGAAAATTGGCGCCTTCTCGTCAAGGCCTCCAGAGTAATCGGTAATTGAATCGATTTAATTAAATTACTTACACAACGCCATCCGTGCAGAGTGTCGTGAGATGTGTGTGTGCCGAGAATTTGAGTGGCGGCTGGAAAACGCACAACACGATGCCATTCAATTGTGAAGGCCCCAAACCAGAGAAGCCACTAAATCCACCCTCAACTTGGCGAGAGAGACAAATGAGTGGGGATCTTTATTGGAAATGTTCCCATGCAAAACTACTGCTAAACTAGAGAGCAATTTTCACCCCATCTCCAACACAGAGACTTGCCTTTAGGGAGCCTTGAATGCTAAATTGTGTTACGCAATTAATTAACAAAATTTATCTGTGGAATGAAGTAATTTGCGTCAAATAAAATCCATACAGTAATTTATGCCTAATTGAAACATGTCAGGCAGCTTCTCACCCATTTCTCCACAGGTAAATTTGACGCTCTCTCACACTTTATCCTCTCTCCACTTATCATGGTAGAAATCATGCAGAAAATTCTCCTTTTAATTTCCCTTCTCAAGCTGTGCTAAAATGTATAATAACACACCCTGGAGCTGGCCATTAATTTGAGGAAGATATAAGAACAAAAGCAGCACAAGATTTTATCGTTAATGCGATGGTGGAAAAAGAGCACCATAACTTCTTTTGCATGGAGAAAGTGCAACTATGCCTGAAACATGCGATACAGAGCAAATCCTGGCAGCCGCTTTTCTTCCTTCAGCACTAAATCACCCCACTTTTCACCCTTCCCGCCCTTAAATTCCTGCACATCTATGCAGAACCTGCAGAACTTAACATATTAACGTAATTATTCATATTGTGCAAAGAATCTTCATAATATGAAAAGCTGTGTAAGTTTCAAGTTGTTTGTTGTGCTTTTACAATCAATCTTTGGCGAAGGTGAGCTTTGAGAGCTAACCTGATGTTTTTCGTCTCAAAGTCCTGACTTTGGTTTTTGCAAACTATAGAGATGATTAATGGGCGGGGCATTCAAGTGGGCGGAGCTAGAAAAAATTAACCATTCAATTCATTTGCCCAAAAGAAATGGCTTTTCATACAAATCAAATAGAATCTAAATTCCCAATTGACAAATAGCACGAGTCACTTTGGCAAAAAGTGGGAGAAAGTGTGGGAGAACAAAAAAATAGACATGTCATTAGGATCCTATTTGGCATGATTGACAGACGTTTTTCCAACTTTCACTCGAGACGAACGAGGAAGAGATAAAAGAAAGCAGTCACTTCTGCTGTCTGCAATATGTGAATATGAAATGTTAACGATTCAATGGAGGTGAAAACCTGTTTTCAATGTATTGCGAGGAACTGCATTCGCGTCTCCCCCCAAAAAAGGCAAAGAAACCTGTTGCATGTCCTCAAAGTAGTATTGCAAAATGCTAAAATGTTCTTTCTTCATCACATTGAGTGCTATTTCCAGGAATTTCTCTCTCCATTTCTTGGAATCTTCACCTGATAATTGGGTTAATTCGTAAATATTCACTTACAGTGGCGGAAGAGAAAATTGAACAGGATATTCGCGTCTCAATTATGGCGAAAAGGTTCTCAGCTGAAAAGAACATATCACAAAGTGGAGTATTTTTCGAAGCTGTATATTGATTTCAATTAAACTGAATTGACTTGCAAATCCTCCGAGCGCTCTGTTCGCCAATTACTGACACAAAATACAATTGGAAGGTGTCCTCGGGCTTATCTTTAATTAGAATTTCGCCCGCCATTCCGCGGATTTCCACAAACGCTCGGGTTTGTCACACCCGCGAGGCGCGCTCTCAAAGGCTTGTCTGCGCCGCGGACAAATGCGAGAAAAAGCGACTGACATGTTCAGATTACGCTTCTTCTGCGTGTTGTGGGCGACGTAATTTTTTTCAATGAACGCGGACAACATCCTCATCGCCGAAGTGGGTGGCAAAGAACCTCGGAGAGCAGTAAAAGTAATAGCCAGTTGAGCACAAAAAAGCACGCGGTGGTATAAAATGTAAAATGAGTTGGAAGGATGAAGCAGAGCAGAAAATTTAATTTCCTCCTGTGATTTTCTCGTTTTCCCTCCGCTGCTGATTGTCTCTCTCTGTTGGCGCTATAAGGAGACCGCATGAAAAATGCCGCTTGACATTCACACATTTAAATTAATAAAGTTGTACTGGAAAGCACAAAGTATAAAGTGCACGGCATTTTTGCAACTTTTCCACGTCAAGCGTGGCACATTTTCTAAACTTTGTCCTCCAGCAGAGGAAAGATGAAGCGTTTTAACTCTATTCTTATTTACATTTCCTTAAATAGGAAGCAGAGAAAACAGTCAAAATATGCGCCACTTTTCAACTCTTGCAAAATTCATAGTAGACAAAATTTCTAATTTCTCCAGTAATTCTTATTCTTAAATAAATGTATACAGAACATCTTGTTAATATGAATAAAAGTGTGCAGATTTCAATTTCCTCACAGGCATATTTCTCTTTCCGAGCAGTCTTCGTCCGGACTAAGCTTGAAATTACAATGAAATTTCATATTCACTTACATATTCTTACCAGTTGAAGAGCGTGATGAACTGCCTTTGGAGAACTTTGAGATCTTTTCCAGAGGCTGAAGACTTCTGAAAATTCACACGGAGAAAACTTCATCAATTCTCTACACATTTCCTTTACTATAAAATGATAAAATTTACTCTCGCGTTCACTTCAAAATCATTTCACAGTCTTTTCCGGCACTTTTCACTGAGAAAGTTCACTCAAAGTCTATCTTTCGTTTAATAAAGTTCCTTATAAAAAAAAAATTTCAGCAGAGATAATTTTTGAGACGACGCAAGAAATCTTCATTAACTCAACAAACTCAACTATAACATGCTGCTTAACTCTCGAGCTCCCCAAATTAATATATACAGCATTCAAATCCGGAAATTGACTTAGATTATAGATTCCATTCTAGTCACTGAGTCTCGATTCGCTCATTTACGCACTTTGAACTGAAGTTTACGAATGAATTTAATTATTTCCCCAGCAAATTCATATTAATTACAGAGCTCTTTAATAGCTTTAATAAAGTCCACATGAAATTATAAATATTTTAATAATTAAATGCACCATTCATTCAAAAATGCGAAAATAAAATTTCATTGCCTAAAAGTAGAATATTATAATTACATTCAATTCAATATTATAATGCTTATAAATGGAATAAATTTAATGAAATTCGCTACTTTATCGAAATCGATAGGAAATTAAGCTACTCATTCAGCATTTCTCTCTCTCTCTCACTCTCTTTTTTTCTCTCTGAAAGGCGAACTTTTATCGAGGGTCATTCGATTTATTCACGTTTATCCTAGAAAAGTTACATCAATTTCACACAAATTTGAGATACTCGACTGAAGTCGTGGAATTTGGGATGCACAATACTGAACTTACCAGCCGGGCGTTGTGTTGGCCAGACGCCGCATTCTGCGCGTGTTTCTGTCCTGGTCGCGGATCTTCTTCTCCATCTCGGCATCCGTGAGCGTCTCCAGGAAGGGCGCCCAGCCGTCGGCCTCACTCGGCGCCCTGAAGGGCACCTCGACCGTGGCCAGCGGCGCCTCGCTGAACGCGTACGTGCGCTGGTGCCACGACAACTGCCCGCGAATCGAGTACGCGATCGCCGTGACGAACTCCCCGCCGAGGCCCAGTTCCGCGCACAGCTTCATGGCGAACTCCTCGGGGTTGTTCTCGCGCTCCGACATGTCCCATTCCACCTGGTCCACCAGCGACGTGTTGCCCACGTGGATATTCAGCTTGATGATGACGCGCTGGTCGCAGCTCTCCTCCATGATCGGTTCACTGGGATACGCCTCGATCTGCTGCCGAATCGCCGCCGCGATGGCCGGCACGAAGGCCAGCGGATTGAGGTCCAGATCATCGCAGAGCACCTCTGCGAACTGCTCGGGCGTGATCATGCTCTCGTTCTTGTTCCACGTGAACGTGTCACGCAACTTCTGGCCCTCCAGCTCCATATCCAAGCGCACGGGCACCAGCATCTCCTGCTGCGCGGCGTTCTCCAGATTCGTGCCAGGATCCGTGTCGTCGAAGCACATCGGGAACGTGCGGACCTTCTTCTGGTACACGCGATTGCGATTGATGGGCGTCGCCTGTGGCACGGCGTCCAAGTGGCTCGAGTTGGGCATTGTGGGCACCCACGGCGTGGGCTTCTTGGACTTGCTCTCGCGCATCACCGGCAGATCCGTGGAGTGCACGGACACCGCCTTGTACTTGTCGTCATTGCCCTCAATCACGTCCTCCACTTCGGACGCCTTCAGCAGCGACACAGAGCTGGCGAGGATGTGGCTGCTCAGCCCAGACTCGATCAGGCGCTTCCTCTCCTCATTGCTGAGGGTGCGCCGGGTCATGCCCGGGTACTTCTTGTACAGTGAGCCCCGGAAGAGGCGCAGATAATTGCCCACCTGAAGGGACAACAAACAAAGTGAGGTTAGCTTGTTTACACTCAAATTTACCCGTGAATTCCCACCTCTGAGCCCACGCAGTAGTACTCTCCATTCTCCTCGAGCTGGAAGCTTATCGGCTTGTCCCCGTACGTCCTGATAGACATGCTATTTATCTGGTTTTTCCGCGACAAAACAGACTGGAAAATTCCTCTCCAACAAAGCCGCTGTCACACTGCCGCCGAATTCCACCGCCGAGCAGCGCTGCGCGCACTGTGGAGGCAAACGTGAAATGTTCTCCGCTTTTGGTTTTCTTCGCTTGTCACCTTGCCTGGTGGATTCTGGGAAAATCGCGAAAAAAGAGAAAATCCTCAGCCGAAGCCGCCACCTGAGCGTCCCGCGCGAATCCCCAGTCAGCGTGTTGTGAATGTGGCGAGGTTGTTGATTGAGTGCCGAAGCGACAATTGACATTTGAACACACACATTCGGAGGGCGCCGATCATGGATGAAAATCAGTCGGATCTCGCACTGCCGGACATTACCGAAGCCGAGGCTGAGCAAGAAAATGGAAATCAGGTGAGTCTGCACGCCTTTCGCGCTGTTGCGCTGGGAAATTCCACTCCCGCGGGACGCCAGGGCTGCTCTCCCGCTGGCCACAGATGCCACCAAGCTTGGGCGCACCTTTTGCCCGTCTGGGAGCATCCATTTTGAATTTCGCACGTCTTGCCTTCTGCCGCTCGCCATTCGCCCTAGCGCGCTCCGCCCGCCGCTGCCGGAGGCTCTTGAGCCTCGCCGCGGCCGAGATAGGGTGGATAATTTGCCCTCCCGGACAATGCAACCCTGTCGAGAAGCGTCAGGGATGTTCCATGAAACTCACACGCATTTCCATACAAACAATCTCCGCATTTCGCATGCAAGGCTGCAGAAACCGTGCGAAATTCCCACGATAAGTGCTTTGTGTTTCGCGAACGATTTTGGAGAGTTCAGTGGAGTTTTCCAGGACAATTCTATTTTGCTACGAAAATTCACCCTTTGACCGCAAATCTGACGTTTTTCCGCGCTTTCCTCATATTATTCCAACTTTTCTATTTATAACCACATATCGTGCATTAGAATTTTATGAATTCATTCATTTCTTGAATACTCCTAGAGTTGCTAGACAGTTTGAAAATGTCTTACGGGAAGCAAACAAAGTATTTTAACAATCCTGATATATTTTCACAAGCACTTTTTTACTCCTAAAAGTTATAAATCATATCACAATTAAATCTGTTATCAGGAGATGAAATCTGAGAAGAATTTGTCCTCATTTCCACAAAGAAAGTGTTGTTATATCTCATAATAGAAGCTCAAATTCGTTTTCAAGTCAGTGAATGTAAAAACTTATCCTAAATTATCTCAATGCACTAATTTGCTCAAGCAATTATGTAAGAAATCTCCTCTTGTCCCACGACTGTGAACTTTGTCCGCAGGACAGTCCTTGTACATGTCTGTTGAGTGAAGCTTTCGCTCTTTCAGGGCACAACGAGGACGCGTCTCATCACAGCCACCACGGCGGAGACCACGACGGTGGACGGCGGCACCGTGGTGTCGGTGCCTGTGCCGGTGAGCCTGCCCGTGGGCAGTGCAAGCGGCAGCACCTTCAACGTGATTACGCCAGAGCAGCTGTTGCACTTCAAGCCGATGATCTGCGTGGACAACAACGGCTTCATCTCGGGCCAGGTCGTCGGCGGTGACCTCAAGGCGACGCACATCGTCATTAAGCAGCCCGTGACGGCGTCCGAGAGCGTGGCCACGAGCACACAAGAGATCACGACGATGACGGAGCCGCAGACGCAATCGCAGCCGCAGCAGCTGCAGAATCAGTGGTCGGACATCATGAACATGGAGGTGCTGCCGATCCGCTGCAAGACCACCACCGCGGAGCTGTACAAGAGTCGCCTGGGCTCGGGCGGACGCGGTCGGTGCATCAAGTACAAGGACAACTGGTTCACGCCCAGCGAGTTCGAGCAGGAGTGCGGCCGCGGCTCCAGCAAGGACTGGAAGCGGTCCATCCGCTTCGGCGGACGCAGTCTGCAGGCGCTGATCGACGAGGGCGTCCTGCAGCCGCACGCCACCAGCTGCACATGCCCCGCGTGCTGCGACGACGACTCCAGTGAGTGTCCCGTTGGCTGGGGTGGCTAGGAAAGATCCTAGTGCCTAATCCGTAGTCTCTCTTCCAGGCGCCACGGGGCCGGTGCGCTTCTTCACGCCGTACAAGCGCCGTCGGCGGAACCAGATCGAGATCGACAACAAGAAGAAGCGACAATCGGGCTCGGCGGACGAGTATGCGGAGCAGGAGCCGGTGGTGATCACGAAGGAGGAGCCCTGGGGCACGCTGACGGACGGCATCGATGGCTCCAGTGACTTCCTGGACGCCGCACAGATCGCCGAGGGCAACATCCCGCTTGAGAGACTCAAGTCGCTGTGCGTTCAGATGGCCAAGGCGATCGCAGAGTTCCGGCGTTGCATCAACGAGGCGCAGGAGATCCACGTGAAGCAGGTGGAGCGAGTGCAGCGCGAGAGAGACGCTGCGCTCATCGCGGCCCGCGTTCACGACATTGAGGACCCCAATGCCATCAACATTGCGGCCGGCGTGGATTTGAACGGAGCCAAGAAGGTAAACTCCTTTGATCCTTCTCAGTCTTCTAGACTTGTGTTTTGTGCAAAGGAAGAAAGAATCCGTCAAAATGCGTCAAGATTCATCCGGAAAATTGTGCTGTAGAAGAATATCTTGAAAGGCTTTAAGCGAACGCTGATAAAAGCTCTGATTTCTGAGTCTGCTTGGCAATACTATGAAAATTACAAACGAAAGACTTTGAGAAAGTTTGATGGGTTGAAAGTTGTGAAACTATTCCTTCAATTATGCAGATTGAAGTTTAATATTGATTCCCCTTCGGCTCTGCGGCTTCGGAACTTTAAAAACCACAGGATTTCCCACATTAAATTGCTCAAATGATTAGTGAGAAAGTTTTATTATATTGCAAAATTTCAGTAGATTCTCGGTTTCTCATGCAAACCTCTCAAATGTTATGAGTAAAAATTATCTTAATCTAAAGTAACGCCACAAGATTTAAATTGATTTGAAAAATAGAGGAAAAGAAAGCTTTTGAAAGAGTTCTTGTGTAAAATTCGTCTGTTCAAGACTCAAAATTTCCTCAAATTGAGATTGCGAAAAGGATTTTAACTTCCCTAAGCTTTGCCAATGTTCGTTTGAGTGTTTCTCAAGAAGCAAAAGAGGTTTTAATGGAGAAATGCTATGAATTCAACCTTGATAGTCTCACTCTAATGGATCTCTGCTTTCCGTCCGCAGTGTGCCAATTGCAACAGGGAGGCGCTGGCGGAGTGCTCGCTGTGCCGGCGAACGCCCTACTGCTCGACCTTCTGCCAGCGCAAGGACTGGAACTCGCACCAGGTGGAGTGCTCGCGGGATCCCTCGGACGGCACTCAGCAGATCATGCTGCTCGTGGACGATCAGGCGTAAGGCGGACGGACGGGAGCTTTTCAGTTTCTGTCGGTGGGGTTTTTGGCGGGAGTAGTTTTAAGGATCATCTCGTGTGTCCAATTGTGTAACCGATTTTCTCAAAGCCATAGAGCATTTTTTTTCTTTCTTTTTACCATTTAACACAAAACACTGAGAATTTGGGGAAATGGAATTGGAAGCAATAGAGCTGCACTGCAAAAGTTCTCCTATATAAACAATTTTGAGATGGAAATAATGGAATTTGCTGCACAAAAAGCACACACAAAACAAAAACAGAAGGGGAAAGATAAAAGATTACAATTCATTGTAAGTGTATTAAGTGAAAAAAAAGAAAAATGGATAAATTTTTAGCATCAATTGTAACTATTGTATATCACTTGTTGGGGATTGTTATGCATGTCTTCATTTCTCATGCCGCGCTTCTTTAATTCATTGCAATCATTGCGATTTTTGTGAAGAGGAATAAAAAGGAAAGAAAAAACATCAGAATATACTTTGTATTGTGCAAACACACCCTAACTTTTATATAAAGAGAACGATTATATTCAATTTTAATGCAACAATCTGTCATATATTGTAAGGGTTTAAAAGTATGTGTAGAAAAAAGAAATCATTGAAATTGAGGACAACAGATTGGATGAATCATTTAGAAATATTGATTGTATACTGTAGAGCAGCAGTGAATATAAAGTAAGAAGACCAAATAGTGTTTGCACTCTGATTAACTCTTGGTTTACTTAGTCCAAATTGCGCCTCACATTGAACACTGCGTTGAAATTACGGAGATTGTGTGCAGACAATTTAATTGACCTCCACTTAAGGTTTAAAAATTTATTCACAATCCACGATAAATCGCGGATTTTCGCAATATCCGGGGAAATTCAATGTCTGAGTTTGGATTTCCTTTCCTAAACAGTGGAAATGGCATTCAAAGGCTCTCTTCAGTCTGCTTGAGACTTAATGTCTCCGCTTCCGGAAGATTTCTATCTAAATGGAAGAAGGATTTCTTTGCGCAATGATGAAATAATATCCAAAGAGTTAATCCGCGTTGTGCTTCAGTCTCTTCGGCGATGACGATGTGTCTGACTCTGTCTTGACTGTGCTTCTCTTCTGCGAGGAAACTTCCTTTATCACGTACTCCTGGCCAGAGTATTCCACGACGAACTCCAGTCGCTCGTCAGAGGCGGACGTTGAGGCTTCGGGCTCATCTTCGGCCGCCCGTTCTGTCCTTTCTGCTCTACAAGTCAGTCTGCTGAGCAGCGCCGTCCAGTAGAACATTTTGCGGAAGCGCCTCTTGAACTCCTCGACTTCGGGTGCGCGCGTGGAGACCATCTTGGAGGGCTTCTTGGAGGACTTGTCCAGCGCCAGAGTGGCCGCGATGCCACGGAAGGCCGCGAGCGTGCTCCAGCTGACCGGCAGACACATGTTTGTCCAGAAGGCAGGCAGGATGGGCAGCGATCTGCCGGCGATGCTCTGCAAGCACTCCTTCTGGACCTTCGTGAAGTTCTCCTGCACGAAATCCACCTGAGATCTGGTGACGTTGAAGTTCAGCATCCTGGCGAGGTGAAAGAGCCCGTTCGTGATCGGCCGCTGAGGCTGCAACTCCTCGCCGAACTTGTAGTCGAAGGTCGTGTAGAGGAGCCTGAAGAACTTCTGGTCGAAGGCGGAGGTCTCCTTGAAGGGATCTTTGTTCTCCTCCTCCTTCGGCGGCGCCTTGCTCTGCAGCTCCACGATCTTCTGCTTCCAGTTGTCACGCGTGACACTCGTGGTGAGCCGGCGGTGCTTCCGCGGCACATCTTTGATTCTCTTCCTGGGATGAAGTTCCAGGAACTTCCTGATCGTGATGTAGCGCGTGCGGCAGCTGATCCTGTTGTGCGTCTGCAGAATGTTGGCGATCTCCGCCCAGGTCTTGTTGTCATCATCGGCATATCGCATCAGCGCCTCGTCCTCCTCTTGCGTCCAGATGTTGTTGTTGCCCACGCAGAGCAGCGAGTTGCGATAGCGACTCCTCAGCTGCGGCACAGTGCGATTCGGCATGACGTCGCGCACGATCTTGGACAGATTCATGCCGTACTGCTCAATGGCGGCCATCAGCATGCAATCCTCCTCGGGCGTGAAGCGCCCGTGATTGATGTTGGGCTTCAGCGTGTAGTGATAGCGCTTGTACAGCGTGTGCTTCGTCCTCGTCTCGAACTCGCTGCCCACGGTCGTCCAGCAGATCGTGTCGCCGAAGCGATGGCGCTCCACCAGCTCCAGCAGCCGCTCGTCCTCCTCCGGCGTGAACTTCTTCTTGAACTCTATCCGCCCGCTGATGCCGAAGTTCGCCTGGTAGTGCACGAAGCACTGGAACTCCGATCTGCCCTCCACCTTCTCCGCGATCTGCGCCCAGTCGTTGTCGCCCACTTCCTCCACGGCGTTCAGCAGCACGTCCTCCTCCTCGGTGGTCCAAAGCGACCGCTTGAGCTGCGGCGACAGGTGCAGGCGCCACATGGCCTCGCACTCGATCGCCTTGTGCCTGCCCTTCACGTCCTGCAGCGACACCAGCTCCCAGTCCACGCGGAAGTCCGAGCAGTCCTTCACGCACACCCACAGGCTGCTGAAGGACATCTCCTCCACGCGCCGGCCCTCCTTCATCAGCGACTCGATCTTGGTCAGCCTGCCCGGGTGCTTGCGCCGCCTCTCCAGCACCTTGATCGCCTTGTAGATCCGCCCCGCGTGGAAGTTCGACATGGCGCTCTTCACGCCGTCCAGCAACAGCTTCTGGTCCAGCAGCGTCCAGTTGCGCTTCTTCATGTACAGGAAGTCCATGGGGATCAGCTCGCGCCTCTTCAGTCGCTCCGTGTGGTCCTCATTGTCGGGCGCTCTCTTGCCCGCCGGCGTCTTGAAGAACGGGTAGCCGAAGTACTTGGCGCTCTGCCACTTCGTGCACCGCTTCCTCTCGCCGCCAGCGCTGCTCTCGCGGCTGTTGATGAGCTCCTCGATGGCGTCGTAGCGCTTGTCGCAGAGCTCGATCAGCGCAGAGATCTTCTTCTGCAGCATTCCCAGGTATCTGATGTACTGCTTGTTCAGCACGATCGCGTTGAAGGACGTGATGTCATCGTGGCGGACGATCAAATCCTTCGCCTCCTCGAGCAGGCCGCCTTCGAGTCCCAAATCCTGCAAGGACGCCAGGAAACATCAATTTGTGAGGTTAAAGCTTTGTGGTTTTGAGGGATTTCTTACGATTTCAAACAATTCTTCATCTGAATCAGACAATACACCGGCGTCTTCTTCAAAGGATATGTCCATTTCGAAGAAATTACACCTATTTTCCGGGAAGTTGCACAAAAACAAAGTGTCTGCAAAATGTTCAATGAAAATGACAACAACTGAAAGCGCGCTGTTGCCAAATCAACTTCTCTTGTTACAATGAAAACAAGCGAAAATTTCATTCAAAATACGCATTTTATATGAAAATTCCTTTTAAATGTCATAGCAAAAGCATGAAAAACAAATAAGAAAAATCAGGAAAAGGCAAGGAAAAGGGCGAAAATGATTATTTCAGCGATTTCAACACTTTTGAAAACGAAATTAGTTTCTGCTATTCTCCGCTAGGAAATGTCGCTCAAAAAATCGCTAAGTTCGTATAATGGAGGGAATTTCAACGGTTTTGAGAACGTGTCCCTCAATAAAGATAAAAGAACAAATAAATAAGAAAATGCGGAAGGCACTGATAGGAACATTCCAGCTGAGTCAGGGAACAGCAAATATAGACTGTGTGACGCGCGATAAAGAGCCTCAATGTCAAGGAGATCACATTGGCGCTAAACTCCTCCGCGACACGAAAAGCCAAAAGATCTCTTGTGTATCGAAGGCATCTCAGCAGCAGGGTGTGAATGACCCGAATGGCAAAATAACCTTGGGCTATTCTTTCTCCTAACTGTACCAAGAAAGGCCACAAGACTGGAATCTGTCCAAGAAATCTGCCGCCTCTTGGAGATTCCTAGTGAGATTTCTGGCCTCCCTTCCGCCCCTCGACGGCCCACAATTGTTTGACTCTGATGACTATTTCTCGGAGATGCGAGAGAATCAAAATAAGAAGACAAGACTGTGCGGCCGGCACCAATATTGATGATGGATTGTAACAGCGCGCTCCAGTCGACTCTCGGCACACGCGCACATCTTATAAAGCCGCCCAGTGGCTCCAACTCAACCAGTTGGTGGCCAAGTCTCGTCGCAAGAACACATTCTCTGTCGTGAAAAAGTGTCAGCAGTGCCAGAAGTTCATCAAGATGCCGTGCGGAGGTTGTGGAAATGGTAAGAAAACGCCCTAAATCAGCCGAAGGACTTGCCAATTGACCTCTGGATGACTTTGCAGATTGCAAGTGCACTCAGGAGAAGTGCGGAAGCGGCTGCAAGTGCGACTCATCCTGCCAGTGCACCTGCAAGCCCAAGCCCAAGAAGAACGACCAGGCGAAGTGAACAATGCGTCGGAAAATCCCCACGAGAATTTTCACATTAAACATAAAGAAATCAATAAAATGCACTTGAAATGAAATTGAGCGCTTCCGCTCTTGACTTTCTCCGTCAGAAACTCTCCCGCAATTATCTCTCATTGCCCTGGATTTCACTCATCTTCTCTAAACTGCGCTCCAGAAACAGGCAGAGTTGATTGAGATGTAGATTAGAGATTCTGTTTATTGCGTGTAATACAAATTGCTCATGTGCAGTCGTTGGCTCTCTGGCCAGAGATTGCTCTCAGTTCCTGGTTGAGAGTCCTCAACAGCGGATGCTTGCCACAGCCGCAGCGCCCGCGGAAGTCGTCCAGATCCAGCGCCCAAATCATGCCGCCGCCCAGCTTCATCTCGCGGATGAACTGCGCCTTGCGGCGCACCTCGCTCACGTCGTCGTACGACACCCATTGCGAGCCCTTGTACGCGTACGGCCCGATTCTGCCCTGCGGATCTCTCACGACTGTCCATCCGCCGTTGTTAGTGCGCTGGCAGATCTCGTAGTACGCCAGGAAGCCGCCCGCCCTGGTGAATTCTCCCGCCTCGCCCGGGCCGTAGCTCTTCTCGTTCACGCCGCGCTTCCCGGCGTCCGCCAGACTGAAGCTCTGGCCGTACAGCGGAAGCCCCATCACGAGCTTGCTGGGCGGCGCGCCCTTCTCGATCCAGTAGTTGATGGAGAAGTTGGCGTTGAAGTAGTCATAGGTGTCGCCCGGGTAGTAGTAGAGCGGCGCCACATGGCCAGTCTGCTTGTCCCAGTGTCCGTGGAAGTCGTAAGTCATCACGGCGATCCAGTCGAAGTAGTCCGCCAGCGTGGGCACGTCGTAGCCCTTGTCAATCACCATCTTGCTGGGCGACACTGCCGAGGACAGAAGCCATCCGCGAGGGCGGAACTCCTGCGCGAGTTCCTTCACCAGCTCCGCAAAGCCCTGCTTCTCATCCGGATAACCCTTGTCGCATTCCACCTACCATGGAAAATAGAGAGAGAATGTAGCACAGCAGAGACCCAGCTTGTGAATCAGCTTACCTGCCAGCACACTGGATACTCCCAGTCCAGATCCAGTCCATCAAAACCGTACTTCTCGATGAATTCCGCGACATTCCGCACGAAGTTCGCCCTCGCCTGAGGACTCCTCACCAGTCGACTGTACTTGTCTCCCAGCGAATCATTCCATCCGCCAATGGCCACTGTCACCTTGATGCCCTTCCTCTTGTACTCCACCACGCGCTCATAGAACCTGTTGTCGATGTCTGCCCAGGAGTCGTGCGTCTTGATCGTCAGCGTGTCGCGGTTCAGGACAGCGAATCCGTAGACGATGTGCGTGCAGAGACTGGCATCGATGTCATCAGGAGTGTATTTTCCCTCTCCCGGTCGATACCAGGCCCAGTTGGTGAAGTAGCATACCACCTTCATCGCCCCTGGATCCTGAGGAGCAGAAATCGGAGGCAGTTCCGGTCGGGATTCCGGCTTCAACGTTGTCTTTTCAGTCACTATCTCCGGAGTGATCTCAGTTGTGCTTGAGGGCTGTGTGGTGGTCTTCCTCGTGGCCAGAGGACGCTTAGTAGTGCTCCCAGACGATGGTTCACACTTGGCCGCGTCTGGCCAGTCACAGTGATCCCTGTTCCAGTGAAGATTCATCGGGCATCTCTGGATGGCGTAGTGTCCGAACTGACAAATGTAGTACTTGTTGCAGTCGCTCTCGTGAGCCATCAGTGCATCTCCTGAGCAAGATCGGTTCTCCAGAGTCTCTCCCTCAGATTGCTCAGACTCTGGCTCCTCCTGAGCAGGCTTCTCAGCCTCCGGCGCTGCTGTGGAGGTTCTCTTCGGCGGCGTTGGTGTGGTTCTCTTCGTCGTCACTCTCTCTGTGGTCGTCGTCGTCGTCGAGGTCTGAGGCCTCTTGTCATCCTCCTCATACTCAGTCTGCGTCTCCAGAACACAGTTCGGCGCTGGAGTTGAGTATCCCCTGAGCACTCTGTTGATGGTTCTCAGCAGCGGATACTCCTCACAGCCGCAGATATTGCGGAAATCGTCCAAATCCAGCGCCCAGATCATCGCTCCTCCCAATCCCATCGCCTTCACGTACTCGCTCTTGTGCCGAATCATCGCCACATCGTCGAATGACACCCACTGATCCCTGTTGTACGCATATGGACCCATTCTACCCTTCTTGTCCCGCACAACGCGCCAATTCCTTTGCCGAATGTTCGAGCAGATCTCATAATAGGCCAAGAATCCTCTCGCTCTCGTCGCCTCACCAGCTTCTCCTCCTCCATACGTCGGAGAGTTCAGTCCGTGGCGATTTCCCTCGGCCAGCGAGAAGGACTGTCCATACATCGGCATTCCCATCACGATCTTCTTGGCATCGGCGCCCTTCTGGAGCCAGTAGTTGATGGAGAAGTTCGCATTGAATGTCGACTCCACATCCAATGGATGATAGTACATCGGCGCCACGTGGCCAGTCTGTTTGTCCCACTGTCCGTGGAAGTCATAAGTCATCACGGCGATCCAGTCGAAGAGCTGCGACAGCGCTGCGACTTCGTATCCCTCATCAACGACCTTCTTGCTTGGCGACACGGCAGAAGATAGCAAAAGTCCCCTGGGCTTGAATTCCCGCGACAATTCCCCTACTAGCGCTACGAATCCCTCCTTCTCGTTCGCAGATCCCTTGTTGCAGTCCACTTGCCAGCACACCGGATACTCCCAGTCCAGATCCAGGCCGTCAAAGCCGTACTTCTCGATGAACTCCCTCACGTGGCGCACGAATTTACTCCTGGCCGAAGGACTGAGTACGAGTCGGCTGTATTTGTCGCCAGCAGAATCGTTCCAGCCTCCAATGGCCACGGTCACCTTCACGCCCTTTTTCTTGAACGCCACCACGCGCTCGTAGAACCTGTTGTCCATGTCTGCCCAAGAGTCGTGGGGCTGAATCGTGAGCGTCTCCCGATTGAGAACAGCGAATCCGTAGACAATGTGCGTGCAGAGTTCCGGATCAATATCTTCGGGGACGAATTTCCCGCCTCCCTGGCGATACCAAGCCCAATTCGTGAAGTAGCACACCACCTTGAAGTCGCCATGAACCTCGTTCGAGATCTCCCCGGAATCCAGGCCAGAATCCGAGGTCTCTTCTGTGTAGTGCGCCGGCTGCTCTTGAGCTGGAGGCTTGGGCTCCTGAATTACCTCATCGACTCGGTTGTCCACGGACGGAACTATTGGCTTCGCGGTGGTCGTGGGCTCAGGAGCGGGCTCCTTACCAGCTGGAGGATCTCTCAGGCCCTCTCTGATCACAGTCAGCAGAGGATGTTTGCCTTGTCCGCAGCGATTCTTGAAGTCATCGAGATCCAGCGCCCAAATCATGCCTCCACCGAGATCCATCGACCTCACCAGCTGCGTCTTCCTCTTCAGCGTCTCCTGATCGTCGAACGACACCCACTGGTTGCCATGATAAGCATAAGGACCCATTCTTCCCTGCTCATCCTTCACCACTCGCCATCCGCGGTTCTTGATCCTGTCACAAATCTCATAATACGCCAGGAAACCGGCCGCTTTCGTGAACTCTCCAGCCTGTCCAGGGCCAGGAGCCTTAGCGTTGAGTCCATTGTTCTTGGCGTCAGCCAACGTGAAGCTCTGGCCGTACAGAGGCATTCCCATCACGATCTTCCTGGCCGGAGCGCCCTTCTCAATCCAGTAGTGCAGGGAGAAGTTGGAATTGAAGTGCGGCACTTCATCCTCAGGATGATAATACAGAGGCGCCACGTGGCCAGTCTGCTTGTCCCACTGCCCGTGGAAGTCGTACGTCATCACGGCGATCCAGTCGAAGTATTTCGCCAGCGTTGGGACATCATAGCCAGCATCGACTACCATCTTGCTGGGCGACACAGCCGTGGACAGAAGATATCCTTTGGGCTTGAATGCTTCGGAGAGTTCCCTCACGAGATCCGAAAATCCCTGTTTCTCATCCGGGAAGCCCTTCTTGCAGTCCACTTGCCAACACACCGGATACTCCCAGTCCAGATCCAATCCCTCAAAGCCGTACTTCTCGATGAAGAGCAGAGCGTGATCGATGAACTTCTTCCTGGATGCTGGCGATCTCACCAAGCGACTGTATTTGTCTCCCTGAGAGTCATTCCATCCGCCAAGAGCCAGACTCACCTTCACGCCCTTCTTCTTCAGACCAGACACTCTCTCATAGAACTTATTGTCAATATCTGCCCATGAATCATGCGTCCTCAACACCAGGTTCGAGTAGTCAAGCACAGCGAATCCGTAGATAACGTGCGTGCAGAGATTCGTGTCGATGTCCTCGGGAACGTACTTCCCAGCACCCTTTCTGTACCACGCCCAGTTGGTGAAGTAGCACACCATCTTGTAGTAGCCAGAGAAGGGCTTCAGCTCCGACGATTCCGGCACAGTCTCGCCGTCCAGAGGTTGCGTCTGAGGCTTCTCTTCCTCCTTGTCCGGCCTCTGTGGCTCCCTGTGATCCGGAGAACCTGTCGGCTTGTCCGCTGGCTTGCTATCCTTGCATCCTGACCTCTTCGGCCAGTCGCAGTTCTTCAGATTGTCATTCCAATGCAAACCATCGGCGCATTGCATGATATCGTAGCGATTGTGAATGCATCTCAGATACTGCGTGCAGTCGCCTGGATAAGGAGCGTAGCTTCCGTCCGCACAGACATCTCCCTCTTGCAGGACTTTCAGACTGGAGCCGAGCTTCTTCAGGTACTCCCTCACGGACATACACTTCACCTTGTCCGCCCAGTCGCATGACGACGCCTGATATTGGTACTGAAGCCCGGGCGGACAACTCTGGATCACTCTCTTCCCATTCACACAAATGTAGTACATCGAGCAGTCCTTGTGCGGATAGTACTGGCCAGAGATGCACGGCGGCGCACTCGAGGGCTTCTCCGTCGGATGCGTGATGAACTGCACTTGAGTTGTTGTCGTTGGCGTTGTCGTGCGCTTTGGTGGACTCGTGAACCTGGTTGTTATTGTGGGAGTTGTCCAAGATGTTGTCCAAGCCGTTGTCCTTTGCGTTGTTGACTGCACGATGAGATCATGCGTGCATTTGGCATTCGCCGGCCAATCGCACACATTATTCACCTGGTTCCAGTGCAATCCCGCCGCGCACTGTTGCAGAATGAATTCTCCCTGCGAGCAGCGATAGTAGGATGAGCAATCCTTCTCATTGGGGATGTGCTCGTGACCCTCGCACTTGCGATGGTCCGGATGAGGCATCGGCATCACGTTCACGGGCGGAGGAATGACCGTGGCGGCAGTTGTTGGAGCGGCAGTCGTCGTCGTGGCTCTGGTCGTGAAGCGAGTTGTTGTCGTTGGAGCTGCAGTTGTTGTGGTTGTGGTTGTTGTTGTTGACGGCGGAGTCCACCAGACGGTCTCAGTGGTTGAGGATGTGGACTCAGGAACCCACCAAGCAGAGCTGGTCGTCTGTTCCGTGGCGCCCGTTGAGGATGTCGACGTGTAAGACGGCCATTCAGTGTGATGATGCATGCTATCGACTCCGCCCTCGCCAACAGTGGTCATAACAGGAGGAACTGGCGTCACAGGCGTTGGAGGTCGGGTGCAATCTCCCGAAACCGGAGCCTGACTCGTCAATCTGCCCAGGCCACGATTGATTGCCTTCAGCAGAGGGAAGGACTCGTGGCAGCATCTATTCATGTAATCATCCAGATCCACTGTCCACGCCATTATTCCGCCGAATCCCTGATCTTTCACATACTTCGTCTTCACAGCGATGCTCTTGGGATCATCATAGCCTACCCATTGCGTGTCCCTCCAGGCGAACGGTCCGGACTTCTCAGCTGCGTCCCTTCCAGATTGCCACTTCTGCTTCCTGATCCTGTCGCAGATCTCATAGTACGCCATCATGCCAGGCTGCCGTGTGAATTCCCCAGCATTTCCCGCTCCTGAAGTCTCCACACCCTCAAGAATAATAGATCCTCTGCTGTGCTCCTTCAGTGTGAACGTTTGTCCGTAGAAGGGAATGCCCATGATCAACTTCTCTCTGTGCGCACCCAATTTCACCAGCTCTTGCAGCGTGTAATCCACATTGTACTGCGGGAATCTGTCATTGGGCTTCGCGTACAGCGGACTCACGTGTCCAGTCTTGCCTTCCCACGCGCCGTGGTAATCATACGTCATCACAGGCATGAAGTCCGCACTCTCCGACAGAGATCTCAGGTCGTAAGCCTCCCTGATCACCTCCGCGTAGCCAGACAAGGACACTCCCAGCCTCAGCGGCGGATCCTGGCGACGGAACTCTGCCGAGAGCTCTTGCATGAACGCCGCGAAGTTGGATTTGTCATAAGAAGGGCCCTTCTTGCAGTTGCTCTGCCAGCATTTCGGGTAGTTCCAGTCAAACATGAGACCACTGAAGTTGTACTTCTTCAGGAAAGTCACAGCCTGGCGGATGAAGTTGCTCCTGGCTGTTGGATTGGCTGCCAGGCGAGAATATTTATCACCGGCAGAGTCTGTCCAGCCGCCGATGGCAAGCAAAGCGGGCACGTTGAGATTAGTGGTTCTCCTGAAGAGATCTGCAAAGATAGGAAAGTTAAAATCAATTCTTTTCACCAGGATATCATTGTCTGACCATTCTCAAGATCCGCCCACGGATCGAACTCCTTCATGATCAGCTCCTTCACGTCCAGCGTGGCGAAAGTGTAGATCACATAGCTGCACAGCGAAGGATCGATGAGTTCAGGAACGAACTTCCCGTCGTTCTTCCTGTAGAAAGCCCAATTCGTGAAGTAGCACAGGACTTTCTGCTCCTCTGCCCTCTTCGGCTCGCCGCGCCTCCTCAACGCCGACGGCACGGGATCATGCAGAGGCTGATGCGTCAAGCTGTACGTTCCAACGTCGGCAGGATCCACTAGCTGCTGATACGGCGATCCGATCCTGTAGGGCTGCGGCTCAGTGAACGAGTACGGATTCGGCACTAAAAAAGCATCATAGAAGCTGGCTCTCTTCCGTCTCTTGATGGGCTCGTCATCGTGCACTGGCCGAGCCTCCACGGCGTCTCGTAACGGTTGTCGCGAAGACAATCTGCAATGGAAAGCAGAACACCTACGTGAGTGTCATTGCCAAAAGAACAGCGACAAAGCGGAACTTTGAATTGGAGGCGCGCGTGTGACGCTGACTGAGATTGTCGCCCAGAGCAAATCACTGAGAAATGTTGGCTTTGTCAAAGAATAGAGTGTAAGAAGGGAGGGAAACTTACGGCGCACTCGGCGCACTTTCCACCGCACTGCGAAGCGGCAGGAATCTGAAGCCGAAGGGCAGGTATTCCGTGTAGTCCTCCTTGAGCTTGCCTCTGTCCGGCGCCGGCGGACTCTCAACGGCCGATCGGATGAATGACGGCGTGCCTGATTGCGGTTCATGCAGCGACTTCGCGTCAATCAGCAGCAAAATCACCTGTGCGAAAACAATCACTCTTGTTTTCAACGCGGAAAAAAACGGTCACCAAACCACGCTCAGATCGTTACTCACCGCGAACAGCAAACACTTAACAATTCCCATGATTGATCAGTGCGAGAATCGGAAGAAGCTGCAAAGATAATGACCGATGATTGGCCAATTATGAGTGTGTAAATAAATCTTCATTGAGAATTCCCCATCAGCATAGATCGCAAACCAATTCAGAGATCTCAATTAAGCTCTACACCTGAAGACTGAACGCTGAAAATACGCCAGACTATTATTCAATCAGCATTAAAATAACTCCGAAGGTGACGGAAACTCCCTCGATTTCCAATTATTTCCAAAGTGAAAAATTGCGAGCAACTCTTCAACTAGTTCTACTTAAGGTGAATTAGGATTTATGATAAACTAACGCATAGTTTAGCCTAGAAGCGAGCTGAGTGAAGCTGTAAAGTCGAAAAGAATACAGATTGAATTTCCAGTTGGTAATTTAAGAGAGAATTCTACGAAAGATGCTCCAAATAATTTCCCTAAAGTGTAGCAACGGAATCATTTTTCTCCCTTCCCATTTCCATATTTCGCGATATTGATTCTTCCGGTTGATTACAGAAGTGAACGGAATAAAATTGTACAAACGCAATCAATTATAAAGTCAATGATTTGAAGAGCTCCGTATTAAATCCCATCGATCGCTCTCCACGCGTTTCCCAACGGACAGCAAAAAATGCATGATTTATGCGTGATAGCGAACACGAAAAGAACCTTGTTTGTGGGTGAAGAACAGAACGCCTTTTGCATATTTGGCTTTCACGATCTCTTCTTCTCTCTTTTATTTGAGATGCCATTTTGCCATTGGGACGTGCTTCCCGAGGGTCGATGGCACTTTTAGTATTCATAACACGTAGGTTCATTGATCGATTTACCTGGAGAGTTTGTGTGATGGTCAAAACCGGTACGACAAGATCACACCTTTCCCAGGTCGGAAATTCTGGAATTTTTCGGGAGATTGATCCAAAAAGCCTCCGAAGAAATTGTGTCTTACTCAAGATCATCAATTATTGTTCGGATTGGTGATGAGAAATCCCTTTTTTTCTTTTTAAATAAATACTCACAAATAAAGTTCTTTAGTAGCGATCAAAAGCACTTCTCTAAACTCACAAACTTCACATCTTAACACCTATTCCACAGCGATGCAAAGCGTTTGATCCCAAAGGGAGAGAGAGAGAGAAGTTTCCACTGCACTGGCGAGAGAGTTCTGCTTCCACTGACACTCCACAAAGCACTGTTTCCGTTCTTGCGCTGGGATGCTTCTTTTATAGCACCGCGAAGAGGCGCCCGCCTTTTCGATACACTCAATATTCTGGTGACAAACTCGTTTTGTTTTCTCTTCTTACAGGTTTTTCCTTCTTCTCGTTCTTATTCTGCCGCATTTGCCGTGTGTTGTGCCTCACATGAGGACATTAACACTCCCCAAAAGCCGATAATGTGTCCACAAACAGGAGATCATCAACATTTCCAACTTTACGACTCCGCGCGAAGGAAGATTAGCAAACGAGCTGCAAGACATTGAACGTCCTTGAGGTGCTCTCTCGCTCTTCACGCCACCGCCGCCGAGGAATTCCACCCAGAAGCCCAGACGCAGCGGTAGACAATCTTACGGTTCTGATTCTGAGCTTCTGTTGCGCAATCTTGGGGTCAATCGCCCCACATCGCAAACAATACTACACGATCTCTGTCGCTCACTCTCCTCTATTCTGTCCATTCTTTTGCATATCAACCGAAAAACACGCGAGATCATCAACCCGAAATAATTACCATAAAAGATCTCCTTTCAGCATCGCCAAAAGAACCTGTTCCTGTGCATTTCGCACCGTCTTTTATTACTTTTGGTTTCACTACCACTTTATGTTTAGAGCCGTGCTCATCTTCTCCACTGCATGGTATTTTGTGTGCAGCTTCGCCGCCGCCTTGTCGCTCTGATAGCCGCCGAAAAAGGTGCTGTAAATCCTCTTCTGCCCGTCAAAGTCATCGGGATTCGATTGTGGCAATTCGCTGTACAGCTTCTCGAGGCTGCCGCAGAGTTCTCGCGTCGAGACGCCCTGTTCGGGCCTCACTTGGGCGCCCCCATTGAGACATCCTGAGGGACAGGCCATGATCTCAACGAAATGATACGTGGATTTGCCCCTCTTGAGCTTCTGCACAAGATTCTGAATGTTCCGGAAGCCATTGGCAATGGCGAAGCGCAGACTTTCTCCGCCGTGCTCAAATGTGATCTCCCGGAAGTCGGGATTTCTGCAACAATCCCGCTCTTAGCAAACACTCTCATGCAAAATGCCAAACACTCACCTCAAGCTCTTGAACTCCAGCTTCTCGATGGACTCATTGAAGAGCTGTTTCACGGCGTACTTGAAGATGTGCTCGCAGAATCCTCCAGATCCTGAGGCTTCATTGGCAAAGATCTGATCCTGACGCTCGGCAATTGGCCATGGCCAGTCGAAAGACTGTCCGTCAAAGTCACTGAGTGATTTCGCTTCCTTTTGCAGCATTTGCTCGATCTCTATCGACGTTATCACGCAATCCACGTCTCTAGACTGGGAAACCTCATCGAAGAAGTCCTCTCTGGAAGCCTCCAGCTTCTTGTCATAGCACGGCATCACAGTCACGTGGTAGATTCTGTCCCTGGGCATCTGTGTCTTCTCCGACAGGCCCTCTTTCACCAGCACTCCCATGATCTGCTGCGGGGATCTTGTGCTGGAGATGTAAGGCAGGATGAAGCTGCCGTGCGTCTTCTCAGCGTAGCACACCCATCCTGGACAGGACGAGGACAGCATCGGGAGGTTCTTCTGCTTCTCCCCGCTTCGCTCTGCCAGATATCTGGCCAGGAACTCATCTCTGCACTCAATCAACGACAGATCATCGGCGATTGTAGTGCTGAGAACAACATCTCCGCCCAGACTCTTGAAGTATCCCGCCAGCCTGGCTGCACAGTCCTTCACAGACAGACCGTACTTCTTCGCGAGGGACAGGATTGGTTGCTGAGACACTGTGAAGACTATAAGTTTGACGTCTTCTCCGGACTTTCTCTTCACCTCGTTCTCACTGAGAACTCGCAACAGTTCTTCCTGGCTCTGCTGTGTTATCAGGACACTCTCGGCAGAGGTGATGCATCCAGAGCAGGCGAGGCAATCTGCGAGTGTGATTTCCACCTTCTGGAGCTTCTGCAGGCCCACCTGAAAGTCCCGGAATGAGGTTATGCAAACACAGGTATGATAATGAGTTGTCTTACCCCAGAATCCACGTAATATCCTCCATCCTCTTGAATTGTGATCTTGGACCCTGTTTGGCTCTTCTTGGTCTCAATTTGCACCGGTTTTATGCATTCCTTCAGAGAAAAGAAGGGAAAAACAGAGGAATGTTCAATGACTTTGCATGAATTCCAAGAAGGCACTAAAACACAATAGTATACCTGAGATGGTGTGATAAAATCATCCAAATCCGTCAGCTGCAGCGCCCCACTAAAACCTGACATGGTTGTCTAAGGAAATCACGAGGAAAATCACTGAAAAACATTCACAATAATATTTTCCTGTGCGACACTTCTGTGACTCAGAATATTTCCGCCACGAGCGCTGAAATCTCGAATCAGCTGGAAATGTTCGGAGAAGTTCCGCGAGAGGCGCTGCAATCTTGCTACGCATATTTTTGCTCGTGGTCTTGAGGAAGAGATAGGAAAATTACCATTTATTGTGAAATATCTAGTGAAAAACCTTGTATCTTTTACCGAGTTGCATCCCAATTGAATGCCTGATAGGTAGAGATTGGGGTGTGATTGAGGGAAAGTGATTTTATTGGTGATTTAGTGGAAAATAGGGAGGAACAGTTGGTTAACCTCCCGGAAGCACATGTTGAGGAAGCTAGGAAAATGTCAATAATCAGCGAAAGGACGATCACGTCCATCCTCAAGGAGCACTCGAGCATCAGCCGCGACAGGGCGCGTCTGGAGGCGCACAATAAGGTGCGGTTCAGCTTGACGAGCCAGAAGACTGTCCAGGATGTGCTGACGAAGGCCATCGATGGCAACTTTGCCGACTATGAGGAGTACATCACGATGATGAGGACCTCAGCGCTGCCGGACGAAGCCTTCTTGAATACCGTGCGACAGTCGAAGGAGTGCATCCACTTGCTGCGGCCGCAGTTCATGGGCTTCGTGGAGACGCTCTTGTCGCTGAACTGGACGAAGCGCAGTGCGGAGATTCGGGAGGAGTTCAAGGCGTTTCTGCTGGAGTTGCTGGTGACGCACAACAAGTACGCGCGGATAGGGATCGACAAGCTGGTGTCCACGTGGATCCCGGAGGAGAGCGCGGCCGCGAGCTGGCCTCTGGGAGCGCCGAATGAGGAGATCCGAGAGAGGCTGAGCGACGTTCACGAGGTGATGGCGAAACTGGTGGAACTCATCCCGATGGCCTCTTCCGTGATAATCCGGGCCATCGACACCCTCTTCCCGTACTTCAGGCGCTCGGCGCACATCCTGGGCGGCTATCTGCACAACGTCTTCTGGCTGCTGAGCTATCAGCCCGTGTTCACAGAAGACGTGCTGCGGATCGTCCTCACGCGCCTGCTGAAAGTGGACGTGAATGCGCCCAGGAACGAGATAGAGGACGCGGAGCTCGAGGACGAGGACATGGAGAACCTGTTCGAGATGGAGGACGTGAAGAGCTTCAGGGAGGACGAGATGAGGAACTCTCTGGCGGAGTCTCTGGACATTTGTCTGGGGAAGATCTTCGAGTTCCTGCAGCGCGAATTGACAAAGACTTCAAGAACGCCCGAGAGGACTTTCAAGAGCATCATGAACGTGTTCGAAGCTGTGATTCTGCCTGCCCACAATCCGCACCACATCCAATTCTTCATCTTCTACTCCATGAGCCTCAGGCCGGCGTTCGTGCAGCACTTCGTGAACACGCTGTGGACCAAAGTGTGCAATCCAAACGTGGCGCCAGCCATGCGACAAGTCTGCGTCTACTACATCGCGAGTCTCCTGGCGCGCGCCAAGTTCCTGCCCATGGATCTGCTGCGGCAGATGCTGAAGGAGCTCTGCTCCTGGGCGCACCAGTACATCTCGCGCTACGACTCCTCGCACTCGGACACTTCCATCCGCGCCCACGGCGTCTTCTTCGCCATCTGCCAGGCCGTGTTCTACGTCATCGCCTTCCGCAGCAGGGATCTGACCAGCGACAAGGACGATCTCATATTCCTGCAGTCGCTGCATCTCTCGGCCATCGTCACGTCGCCACTGAATCCGCTGCGCGTGTGTCTGCCCACGATTGCCACGGCTTTCGCGGGCGTCACGAGGGCGCACCAGCTGACGTACTGCCACACAATCCTGGAGCGCAACGCGCGGAAGAAGCTGGCCACCGTGTATATGAGCGACGTGGAGATGCCGGAAGAGTGCCTGGACACGTTCTTCCCCTTCGATCCGTTCCTTCTGAAGAAGTAAGACGCTTTCCTCCATCCTTAAGACTTTCATAACCATTTGTCTCACGCTCTTGCAGATCTTCCAGCTACATCGAGAGGATTTACCTGAAATACCAGGCGAGCGAAGCGGAGGAGAAGCCAGAGGAGGACTCAACGCGGAAGCGCAAAGACACAATTGGCGATGACGACGATTTTATTGCCGAGAAGCGACTGAAGGCGGATTTGGCCAGGAGCCACGAGAGAGAGCTGCAGTTCTCCTACAGCATCTCGCCGGGATTTCACACGTGAATAAAGATCCCTTAACAGACTCATGCGTTTCTTGAAACTTAGGACTTCCGGATGGGCACCAGCGGTGGCAAATCATCAGGACTCAGGAACACTTCCTGGGACGACTTTTCCGCCTCTGCCCGAATCGTGCTGTTGATCTTCTTAAGGTGCGTCGAGTGATGCGCGTTGCGATTGCTCAGCGTCCGGAAGCGCTTCTCGCAGTAGAGACACTCGAAGGGCTTCTCGCCAGTGTGGACGGTCAGGTGCATCTTCAGGCTGTCCCTGGAGGAGAAGTCCTTCAGGCACGTGACACAGGTGAACTTGGGCTTCGAGGCTGAGTGGATTTGGCGGTGGTTCTTGAGCGTGGACTCCAAGGAGAAGGACTTTCCGCACTCGTCACACTCGAAAGGACGCTCGCCAGTGTGAATCCTGAGATGCCGCCTCAAATCGATGGGCTTGAGGAATTTCTTCGGACAGTTTGTGCACTTCTTGTAGTTCTTCTCCCTTCTGGACTTCTCCTGAACGACGTCCGGAGGTTGAGTGTGAGGAATGTTCTCCAGTGGAGGGAGAATTATTTCCTCTTCGGGCATTTTCTGCTGCCTCTTCTGCGGCGTCCAGGAGAAGATTGTGGTGCTCTCGCCATCGCCCTCGATCGGATTGATCTTGATGAGATTCGGGGAGAGTTGAGGCTGCAGATATTCCTCAACTGGGTCGAATTGGTGATCCTCAAGGTAGACAATGAAGGTCTTGGGCTGATTGTCTTCCATGCCAGAGAAATCCACGGCAGGCAGATTGTCTGTTGTCTGGGGAATTTCCGGAGGCTCTTCTGGTGCCTCTTCGCTCTCCACGTGCTTCCTCAGCTCCACTATCGCGCCATCGTGAATCACAGAGTGCTTCCTGAAGGATTCGTGCGTCTTGAATCTCCTGCCACACTTCGCGCACTCGTAACTCTTGTCCACATTGTGGATCTCGATGTGTCGTCGGCAGGCTGAGACTGTGGTGAACGTCTTGTCGCACTTGGAGCAGCAGAACGGCCTCTGGCCAGTGTGACTGCGTCCGTGAACTTCCAGGATCGCGCGTGTGGCGAAGGTTTTGCCACAAGTGGCGCACTGGAAGGGCCGCACGTTCTGATGGCGCATCAGGTGCTCCTTCAGATGGCAGTTCTTCATGAATCTCATGGGACAGACACTGCAAGCGTGTGGCCTGGGCACGGCGCTCTCGTTCACAGCCCTCAAGCGCCTCTCCAGAGCCATTTCCCTGTTGTGCTGCCTCAGGTGCACCGTGAACTGCGTCTTCATGTGGAAGTTCGCCGGACATCTGCTGCACTGGAACACTCTCTCTCTTCTGTCGCCCTCAGGCAAGGCGTCTTCTTCCTCAGACTCAGAAGACGATTCCTCCGACACTCCCCTCGGCGCTTCCCTCACATGATGCTTTCTATGCTGCAGCCAGCTGGAGAAGTTCCTCTGCCTTCTGGGGCAAAAATTGCACACCAGAAATCTTCCCTTCTGTCCAAAAACTTCCTTAATTGCGTGCTGCACTGCAGTTCCGTCCTCGCGATGCTCCGTGAATTGCACGTACTTCTCCTGGACGGATTCCTGCTGGCACTTGTCTGGCTCTTGGTGGGTCTTCTTCACGTGCAAGCTGAGAGCGCTGAGCTTCTTAAAGCTGCACGAGCACTGCTTGCACGGGAATCTGCCCTGATCCTCAGGGCAGTGCACGCGGCGCAAGTGACACTTCAGGTTTACCTTCTGCACAAAGCTGAGAGGACACTTCGGGCACTGATGCGCCCTGGTGTTCGAGTGCGTGAGCTTGTGGATTTCCAGCGAGGATTTCTGCGTGAATCCGCGACTGCATTCGTCGCACTTGAAGGGCTTCTGGCCAGTGTGAATCACTGCGTGCCTGTCCAGCGAGCTCTTCTTCCCAAAACTCTTCGAGCATATCGCGCAGATGAAGCTCTTCCCCGGCCGCGTCTCGTCTCTGCCTGAGCACTGCTGACAGTGCTTCCGGAAGTCTTCCCGGCGGAGGAAGACGTCATCACACTTGTGGCAGAAGAAGTGTTCGCTCTTGAAGTGCGTCTTTATGTGACCGCGCAGACTGGAGCTTCTGTGGAAGGACACTTTGCATCTGGGACAATCCACAGGCGGCTTCTTGTGCGTCACCACGTGCAGCAGAAGATTGTCCTGCAAAGAATCCCTGTAAGAATTTGTCCGTGAAGCAGAAAATTCACACTCACGAGATGATTGAAGCTGCTCGAGCAGTCCTTGCAACTGTGTGGCTTCTTCAGCTGATGGTTTGTCATGTGGCGCTTCAGCTGGATCTTGGCTCTAAAGGTTTTCCGGCAAATGCTACATGAAAAGTCGTCAGAAGAGGTTCTAGTTTGTGTGGCTTGGACATTTTCTGGGGATTCTAAAGAATCTTTGCTCATGTACATGTCAATTGACAAGTCTCTGCAGGGATATTATTTGGAAAACAGGATATTTCACTCAAAAACCCTACTTTTCTCGCGAAATCCTTAAGACGACAAATCAAAACAAACACAAACTGAAGTTTTCACCTGAATCTTATCTGAAGCTGCAAAAGCTGCAAGTTGTATGCATCAAGCGTCTTTGCTAAGCTCAATTTTCTGTTCAGTGTCTCCACTACATTTGAATCTCACATTTCCAACGGCTTCAACACTATTTCTCTCCTTTCGGAGAGATACTGGGAAACCATTTCAGAAACACTCCATATTACGCAAGACGATGAAGGGGAGACAAAGCCTCGTGTAATTTTCCATGCGACGAGGCAAATTAAAATATTTCAATCGGTCAATAATCACAAATCAAGCTCTATCGCGCCAACCCCATAAAAGACACCCTCTTTTGTCGTAAATTATAATTATAAAAAACAGAACAGCAGCGCCTCGGAAGAGTTTATGTCTCAGGAGCGAGAGGAGAGCCTAATGGGCGTCCACAGAGTGTTTCTGAGATGTGCAAATTCGAAAGATTCGCCGTGGAGCAACAGAAGGATTTGCGCCACTTGCCAAAAAGCGTAAATTCTTTTTTCTTCCTCCCCATTGTCTATTAATACGTAATATTTTGTCGCCATAATTGCGGCAAGGAGACAGAAACAGAAGAAGTCTTATCGCCAAATCGCATTTCTCACTCAAAGCGTCACACAGAATCACCCTTTGTGCGGGGGTGGTTTTAGGGTGGCGGGCATGCCGTGAATTAGAAGGGAGAGAGAGACAAGCTAATGGCTGAGGCAAACGTGGGTGAATTGTGACACGCCGATGACTCGCTATCTCTTCCAAATGCTATTTGCAATAAATTTGCCATGCCTCATAAAAAGATGTGCCTTTTTCGGATGCTATTTCCAGCGTCGCGCTTCGCGAGCGCGCCAATTGAAACATCGGCATTAATTCTGCATCAGGACAAATTAAAACATTATCCTTCAGCAGATATTTCCGGCATTTGCTGCACTTTCCGCGCGTTAATTGGAATGTATTGTGTTGCAATTACTTGTTGTGTTGGTGGAAATTCCGAATTTTACAGCATATTTACAGTGTACGTTCGTTGATAGTTAATTAAAAGCGGCGCGTGACAGGTTTTTAAATTTGAATCAACGAACATTGGGGTGTCAAGCTGGGAGCAGATAATATAAAGTGCTAAGAAAAGCAGCAATCTTAGTTAAATTCGGAGCAAAAGTCACAGATTTCGTCTGTTTCCGATTAAATATTTCGCTATAGATGTTTTGGGGTTTAAACTTAGTCCGTTTTGATCTTAGTGTTGATGACCGAAATCCATTGATTGGCCAAAATATCAGCAGAATTCAGCTAAAGTTTCTGCATTTTTGCGCTAAATTCGTGCGACTCAACATGTGGCGCTGCGTGGAACGTCGAAAAGGTTTCACTTCCATCACTCCGTTGAAGTCTTCGCGAGGCTGCCATCAATGGAGATTTACGAGCGCGATGAAGATGCAGCACAGTGACTCCTCACTTCTAATTGCAATACATTTTCCCGCCCGTGACGCGCTCAGGGGGTGAAGAATTTCATATCCATAACTCATGCGGAACACACCAAGAAATCTCGATGCGAAAGTTGTGTGCAGTTCAGGGGTGCGCAATCCACAGTGTCTCACGCTGTGTGAAGTTTTCTCCCCAGGAATGTGTCGTCCCCCCACCCCTCGGCCCCAACTTCTCGCCCGGCACTTTTCTCAGCTCCTCTCGGGGGTTTTTCGGTATTAATAAATCAAAAACAATGCGACATCTTTAGAAATCATAATCGTAACTCTGGCAGTCCGTGTTCGGGGCGCTATCGCAAACAAACGGACGCTTTACGTCGCCCGGCAACCCTTTAATTACGGCTGTAAATTAACTGAATTCTCGATAGAGGGTGATAGTGTCTCAAATGAGAAAATTTACTGCCAAGAGACACTCACAGACACCGATTATGATCCGCATGAAATCCGACCTTCTCCAGAAAACTTGTGTTCTGGCCTCTCGTCTTTGGGCGCGTCTGCATGAGCAATTGACGCGCAAACGGCGGCGAAGAGAGCTCCGCCACCCTCTCTGGGCGGCATTCGGCAATTAAGGGAGGGAAATTGCATCATGTTCATTTGGCTTCCACGTGAAAAAGCGTGTCATGTTATTTGTTTCCAAACACAATAACCTTAATCCGATCATTTAATGAAAAGTCGAGAGCAGTTCTTCCGGACCATTCGAAATTCCACCCACACCCTCGCAGTATTTCACCCCTGCGATCCCGGAAAAGTTGAAAAAACTAGTTGAAGATTGGACGGGAAATTGGGATTAGTATTCAAAGTAGTTTTCGGTATTACAAATTGAATAAAAAATGTTCAGTTTTCCCTTGAAAATTCCAATAAATATTATGTTAAAAAGCATATTTTTTCTATTTTAAAGTAGAAGCCATTCTTCTAATTTTTTTTAATTTTTTAATTCTGTATTCTTAATTTTCAGTTTCATTATTTTCTAATCAAATTGAAATCTTTCATTTCGACATTTTTTAAATTAATATAATAATCACATAATATATGTAAGAGAAACTTTTTATATATTTATTAAAAAAGTAGTAATTTTTAAAAATTATTTCCTCGAGAATTTATCTGCATATTTTCTTACTTGAAGTCATCTCTGCTTTGAATTTACTTTCAATTTTTCTTTAGTCAAATTATACTCTGCAATTGAAGTGAATTGACGAAAAATCAAGTAAAAATTCAATCATTATCAATTGGAACGCAACTCTGCGGAGTCAAGTGTTCGAAAAAGCACATTTTCAATTTGGAACTTGTACCGATGCCACACACTATCAACCCACCGGAAGTGCCATCGAAACCCCAGCAATTCACCGAAACTTTCCCTTTGATATGCGCCACTGGCAATTAGCATGCACGGCAAGTGGCGCCCCGAAGAAAAACACGTGTAATTAAAATACTCTCCGGTGCATGGTTTTAATATTAAAAATAATTGAAACTATTCCACCAATGGCATCGGGACGCCCCGTTATTGTCTGAATATTGTCTGTTTAGTGGATGTAATTTAATTTTATACCGCACGCCAAAACCATTTTAGGTCCCAAAGGTGGAATGAACATTAAGTTATGGGTGTCATTTCGGTGTGAAATTGCCGGCACAGGAGACGACTGGTGATAAGGTGAAATTAAATTATTTGCTTTTTAATTGCGCGCCGCTGATTTCGCCGTGCCAGACTCTCAATTGGCCGCGCATTGCGAAGGGCGCGCGCGAAAGAATAAATCGCCGGGATCAGGCAATATTGTGATTTTATGCTGTGCCGTGAATCTCGATGGCCAGCTCTGGGTGGCGAAATATGACACAATCGCCACAGTGCATTTTAATCTCTCGGCGCTCGCGACTAGACTCTGCTCATCAAACTTTATTGTTGCGATCGTGTCCAATTGCCGGGCGCTGCAGCGCCAAATTGGCGATTTGATGAGTGTGCAGAAGAGATTATTGCCGGCAATGCGTTGAACCAATCAGCAAGCGATTAGGACAACTGCTCCCCGAAGAAATATAACAGAGATTACGGCTCCACGGCGTGATTGGATGTGCCCTGGGAAGTGATGCTCTCGCTCTCGCCCGAGTCCTGCACACAAGCCCAGCCGCCCGCACTCGATCCTCTGCGGTGGCGTCTGGGATGAGGAACAAGGTGAGAAATGGGCCCATTTGAGGACGCTGTCGTACAAGTTGACTGCCTCCGAAATTGGGCACTCGGCTCAGTGCCCAGCGCTTCCCCAAATGGCCGTCATTGTCGTCTCATTTCGCCGCAAACATGAATGCATAGGATGCTGAGCCTGCGGAAGGGATGAAATTTTGCCAGAAATTCTCAGTAGGAACTGTTCAATATTGAGAGAAACTATTAAAAGAAAAAAAAAACCAAGTGTTTTCCTGTGTTTTCTTATAACATCTTTGTAATAAATTGACTTTTTTCCCACCCTAATCAAGCTTCTTCAAGAAATAGCAAACAAGAATTCAAATATTTGAATCAATTTTTCTAATCAGAGTCACTGAAATTTTTAATTAGGAATAACATGAGCAATAAATTTAGCTCACAACCTTAAACTCAATCAAAGATTGCTTTAAATTGTCACATTGTTTCCGAAATGTATCAAATTTTCCATCGCCATGGCGAAATCCTGATTCGACCCTCTCGAAATTGTGCAATGTTGCAATATGAATTGCACAGCCTCGCCACAGATGATCTCCCTGGGCCGGCATGGAGATTTGTGGGTGCATCTGGAAGAAGGGAAGTCGTAAAATGATGGCAAATCCTGTGCAGCAGGTCGTCGCTAAGTGGTGAATGATGATGTTCATATGGCCGGCTCATTCATGTCGCCCTCCTCAAGCTGCTTTGCATTTTACCGGTCAATTAAGCCCCTGATTCATACGGCATGGAATGTTGGCCCGGCCTCGGGCAAATATTGAGCTCTCCGGCATCCGTGTAATATCTCGCACCTGATGGGATTTGATTGATTTGATGAAGACGCCAGTCTCCGGGCCAAATCTCTCCGCAGGCGATGGGCTTAGCATGGAAATCTCGACTGATATAGAATGTGGATGGGCGGCGCTGGTGGGGAGGAATTGCGGGAGTGGAGCTTCGTATTATGTAGTATTTTGTTCTGAGCATAAATTACGTAGCTATAATCCGTTCGCTGCATAAACTAGCTTCCAATTGCCTTTATTATTCCAACAATCCGTAATCCAGTAAATGAAATATGCTTATATGTGTAGCATTTCCACACACAGAAGTGAGCGTGTGGCATGTTTGTGTCTCGCGCCGCGTGTGCTTTTCATACTGCGCCACGGCGAGCTTTCGCCCACATCGCGGGAGCCAAGCTGTTGGCCATATATGAAAAACATTAAATGAAAATCTATGGCCGTAGGCGCTCTTCGAGGCGATCTCACACGTGGGCGCGGTGAAAAGGCGTGAAAAAGCACTCCTCTCGCGCGGTGATTCCCCAATTATCGTGTCCTCCTTCCTGGCCTGTCATTAAAAATTGCCTCTCGCGCCCATTCAATT